AAAAACATGAAACATGACTTATACCCACAAGTTCTAAAAACTATCACAAATACCCAACAGTACCTTCATCAATAACATTCATTATCATTATCACAAACCATAGTCCTGAACATAAATAAATTTGGTACAAAATTATCATTTTTATAATGAACTACATAATACACTATTAGATGACCGAGAAGACGAAGCAGCATCGTTACAAAATAATAAATGGTGGGCTCTTTTATAAAATACAAAAGTTTGGGACAATTTTTAAAAAAGGTAATAGTAATATTTTGGGCCAAAACCAGCTCTTTTGGAATTTGGGTTTTGGGAATTTGCCAAAATATGGATAAAATTTATGAACAAACATGTATTTGCCAAAACAAATTTGGCAAAATCTATGGCCAAACGGGTCCTAAGAATGGGAAAACAGTTTTACTACATAATCACAAGTTGAATAGTAGAATCTTGAGGCTATAATTAGTTAGCCTAGTTAGTGAAATTGATAATACTTGTCATTCTTGATATGTTACTTTTGGGGTATTTATTGGTTATACTTTGTTTTCCGGAGAAACCCAACCATCAGTGACATTTCTATACAACAACAACAACCCGGTGGGATCCCACAAGTGGGGTCTCGGGAGGGTAATGTGTATGCAGACCTTACCTCTACCCTGGAGGGCAGAGAGGCTATTTCCGAAAGACCCTCGGCTCGAGAGTAAGAATCAGTGACATTACTATGATGATGCATAAAGAAATATAATAATAGAAAGATAGATCCAAATCCTGCATCTTTCTTGCACTCATTCAGATGAACCTACAACTTCATAATCACAAATTGCCAAGAATCTTTTGTAGGCTGAGAGACTAATGTTCCTTTTGTAGACATTTAATTGTTTAATCCTACAAGTGTTCCGGTCAGTAGAGGGACACGGACAAATTTTTAAAGTGCTCAGAGAGCCTGTTTATTTTCCACACCAAGCAAAACTAAAAACAGTCTCATTTTAAGAACCAAATTAATTCTGTCATATTAAGAACCAATATTATCTTTATTCCCTCAGAGATATACCATCGAGACTATGATTCGTGCATCCCACTTCTTTGGTTGTTACTTTGTAGTTTGTATCCATGTCTATGGTTTAAATATTTTTAACATGACAGCAATTGAGCATTAGAGATGACTATGAGAAAAACTACAAGAAGCTGCCCCAAAATGGCAGATCTCAAAGCAAGTAGAGTAAGCTAAGATGGAAACGCCTTAAGTTGAAGGCACTTACATTCCAGTCTTAGGCCAAATTATCACATTCTCTTCGATCTCCACTAACGAAATTATCAACCAAGAGAACCAATTCCGAAGAGAAATCTAAAAAAACCAACCCCCAAAGGAAAAAGGAACAGATAAGCCATGCAGGGCAGAGCAGATGACAGACCAAAGTCGGAAGAAAATCAGACAACAGAAACATAGAGGAGGCTACACTTATGCAGAAGAGTACCAAAAGAACACCAGAAAACAAACCTAGGAGGAAAGGGGAAAAGTTAGATTCATGACTTAAGAATTTCACTAAGAACGAATAATTGCAATTTAACCCGGACACCACCAGCATCCAAACAAAAAAAAATAGAAAAAAGAAACCTGCATTTCAAATCACAGAATGTGCTTGACTAATCAGATCTGCACAATTCATAACCCGCTCAAATTGGTAGGAGGAGAAAGAGGAGAGAAAGCATACTGTGGTATCTGGGTAACAACTTCAGGGCTCAATGAGCTACTCTTTGCCGTCACGGAATCCATAAACTGCAAAATTAAAGTTTATTATCAATAAAAATAAGAGTTATTAGAAAGATAAATGTATGAGAAAATTGATATCTTACATTCATTGTCAAACTCTTTGATGTTCAACCTGCCATCTCAATCTGGTACACATGGTCCCTCCTTGAAAGTACCATTTGTTGGAGAGTGTTGGATACCCCTAACTGTGCTTCACTGAAACAATCCCCTTTCAACCACTTAAATACTCTTGATACAACTGAAAGCTTTTCTGGAAACCTAAGTCCTTTTGTTTCAACAACTTAAACGTTTCCAGCTCATTTGCCTGCAGTACGATGAAACTATCATTGAATTTGAGCTCTACTGGGCACCCCTCATCGAACAACTCCATTCCTGTCAGCTCTTTGCTAGCACTTGAGACAGGTTCTTGGTGGTTTTTATGGATGAAGGATGTAAATCTTTTATCAGGTTCTACTCCGACAGAGTCCATTTTAGAGATATTACAGTCAGAGAATGCCACAGGTTCATGCAAACAGAGAGGCTTCATTTTTTCAATCACACTGCTAGGGCATTCAGTATCTGCATCAACGGAAACTGAACAGCCATCACCAGGCTCAGTACCAGTGTGTGACAGACCGATTTCATGGGCCACCTTCATAACTTTATCACTCTGAAGCCTAAATTCAGCATCAAGTGGCAATATATCTCTTTCTGCTATTTGAAGGCTATAAAGAGCCACCAGAAAAGGAGGAGGAAGAATTGGAGCAGAAGAAGAACTAGGAGACTGAACTTTTTCTGATGTCTCATCAATACAACATTTATGCAAGGGAAAAGGCAGTGGATATAGTTTGTCCAAAATATCAAACAATTCTAGAGAACCTTTCTTTGGTTTCAGGTGAACTTCAGGGAATCTTGAGAAGGCAGAAAAAGCCAGCCCTAGAAGAGTATTCGGCAAACTGGCGCAAATGCTTTCTATAGAAATCTCATAAATGCTTGCGGGAAAGCTGATACCTCTGATAACATCAAAAACGGTTTGAGATGGCCTCAGTCTTGTGATGCCACATTCTTTAAGCTTCTGACATATTTGCAGGTGGACCTCTGCTGGATTTTCTTCGGATTCCTTTTGGTTGTCTATGTGTTTCCTACTAAGGATTTTAGTTAGTTTTCCATTTAGATACCCTTTTAGAAAGTCAAGGTTCAGGTAGTAAGATTTCTTTTTCAATTCCAACTCTCCGATACTCATATCATACAGAAGGTTATTTTCAGAGCACAGAGATTTCCCTCCATAAGGTGATTCTGACCTTTCTTCAGAGTCCCATGCTGCAGTGTATCTCTGAGCTTCTAAACTGCCACATGACATTAATCTTACAAGCAAAAACCCAACAGAATTATCAGTATCAACTAATTGGATAGGAAGGCCATTATTGAGAATACCAAACCCCAAAACAAGGACTTCCGTTTGCCTCCAATTAATCCAATCAGGAAGAATGTCTTTAGAGAAATCTGCTCTCATAAGACAACTTTCACAACAACAATCACGACCAGAAAGTGAGAGGCTTGAAGGTTTGCTCCAAGCATATACCGATTTACTGAGCCTCGACATTTCAGGAAACTCACGGCCGTGATTTCTACCTGGCCCATAGCAGAATAGAGCAAATTCACTGTCCCAAAATGATCCTACCAAAATGCAACGCCCTGATTCGGTCGCCCATGCCCATTTATCATCTATTGAGCTTGGCCTAAGGTCTGACAATCTTAAAACAATCATGTAACCTGGATTATTCAGGCCATGTACCCATCGCAACAATGGCATTAATGGCTTCCTCACATCACAAAGAAGAAGCATGCGACCAGAAACTACAGCAAAACAAAAGGGATCAGACTCCACTCTAGAGAGTGCAAGAAATCTATCACTTCTACCCAACGACACTGCCTCAATCTTTAGCAAGGTGCAGACTTTGCACTTCTCCGACCTCAAATCCACCAAAAACACAGCCCTTGAATTGGCAACAATCAAAATCTTCGGATGCCAGCTAAATTCACAGCTTAGCCACTCTCCATCTCTATCCAACTTGTCCCACAAAACCTGCAATTTCTTCCCTTGCAATACATCACAAGCAAACAAAGTCCGACTCCTCACGCAAGAACCCATATCAAACAAGTACAAGTTCCCATTTTCCAACAACACAACACACTCTTCTCTCAAATGTGGACTCCAACAAGCATGAGAAACAGCACAACCCTTAAACAAGTTTCTATCAGCACTACCCACATAATCTACCGTAACACTGCCAACACCTTTAACCCCCATCTTCACACTATACCAATAAACAGAATACAAAGTACAAACCAATAAATACCCAAAAGTAGATAAACAAGCACTATCATCAATTTCACTAACAGTAACTGGGTTTACTAATAACCTCAAAATCCTACAATTCAACTTGTGATTATGCACTAACAAAGATTTCCCATTCTTAAATTTCTTAACCACAACTTGTTTATCCTCAAAACATAGTATAAAATACCCAACTTGGTCATAATTTTCCCCAGTTGGAAAAAATCCAAGAACCGAATTAGGTTTGTTAGTTTCACCAATATTAGGGCAAGGGAGCAATTGGATTGCATTAAAGTTGTGAATTGATTCAGAAACCTGTGGAGTAATAAACTGTGTAGCAATTGAAGAAGCTGTAGAAGGAAGTGTACTACTTGAAGTTTGTAGAAATCTTGGTAGACAAAACTCAGGAACTGGAGGAGGAAGCCGAGTTGATAACAATGGCGACCGGAGGAGTAGTCTTAGGGTTTCTGCACATGGCTTGAAAATCAAAGGGCCAATTGGACTATCAATACGGCGTCGTTTTGAGGAGGATTTTTCTTCATGTGAATAATTTGATAGTAGAAGTGGTGGCGAATAGGATGAAGATATAGGCCATAGAGACTTCCACTCGTCCGAGAATTCCATTGCCGGCGGAGTTCCGGCAGGTGAACGGCGGGAGAAGAAGCTTTTGATTTCAGGGAGAGCAAGGAAGCAAAGAATGAAGGGAGTATTGAAAAAATGAAAATTCCATATTTGGTCCCAAAACTTCTCCTAATACAAGTTTGAGACCAAATCTATCTTATGGAAAAGCAAATCAACGTGATGCAGAATAAAAATTCAACAAGTATCTAAGTTTTAGGATAATATTAGTTAGGTTAGTTAATAATTAATTATTTTTTTAAATTTGAATTAAAAATAATTAAATATTAATATATTTCTAAGGAAACTATATATATATATATATATATATATATAAATAACTTTAATGTAGAGATATATAAAATGACAAGAATAATTTATTTTTTGAGATGAGAAAGTTTTTGAATAATAATTCATGTGGTCATGCTATATGGATAAAATCATATAACTAAAAATATTAGAATAGATAAAACTAAAGACAAAACATAAACAATAACTTCAAGAAATAAATAAAATATATAAAGATGTCATTTAACTTACTATGTAGTAATTTTAATAAGAAATTAAACTTTCGTATTAAATACAAAAGGGAAAAAGAATTCAATTTAATTTCTTATTGAAAATAATACAAAAATAATAATTATAATTATTAGTATATTTATGACATATAATAAAAGAATTTCTCTGTTTAAACTTTGAACTAATTCAACATCATCCATTTAGAAAAGTAATACGTAATATTCGTATTAATAGATAAACACTAAATAAAAAAATTATAATATTGCAGAACAAAAACTAATGCATAAAGAGGAGAATAGATATAATGTGATTCTATCCGCACTTTAAATTTACTTGATAAAATGTCACGACCCAAAATCTAACAATGGTCGTGATGACGCCTATCGTATTACAAGGCAAGCCTATTTCCCAAAATATTACTACTAAATCGATTATAAGAATTTAATAAAACATTTCCAACATTTGAATTTTTCATAAACTAAATTAACTCTAAATATAATTATAGAAAATACGAAAACGAGCCCCAAACATCGGGGTGTCACTAAGTCATGAGCGTCTAAAACTATAAACTAAGATATATAAACTGTCTAACTGTCCAAAAGAAGAAATGACAAAAGGAGTAACAAGCTCCTGCGGACGCTAGCAGCTACCTTGCAATCTCCATAGATAGCCGGCTTGAACTCAACGATCGCCGCGCTCTAACTCACCTAGATCTGCACATAAAGTGCAGGGTGCAGTATGAGTACAACCGACTCGGTAGTAACAGAAATAACTAAGGAACTGAGCAGTAGTGATGAGCTAAGTAAAATAGTCCAATTATTTATTTTCACAATTTAAAAATAAACAGAAATAAACAGGTAAATTTCATAACTTAGTAAATGCCACAAAGAAATTTAACAGATAAATGCAGGAACAACACAAATAAATACAACCTCACAGCAGTGTCATTCCATCACTCATCACTCGCACTACCACTCAACACTCAAAACACCTAACACTCTGCGCTCACTGGTGGTGTGTACAGACTCCGGAGGGGCTTCCAAAGCCCAAGCGCTAAGCACAGATAACTCACGTGCCATCATATCAATACCTGGATCCGCACGGTCAACTCACGTGCTACGCGGATAACTCACGCGCTATGGTATCAATACCTGGACCCGCACGGTCAACTCACGTGTTACGCGGACAACTCACGCGCTATGGTATTACTATCCTCACAACCAGGCCCTCGACCTCACTCAATCATGTACCTCACTAGCCTCACCATCATCAACAAATAAGGGAACACAACCCACATCAAGTATCACATCATATTAGCAAATAATAGAGACTGAGGTAAACATGTACAATAATTTCTATGACTGAGTACAAATAATGTGAGCATGAATAAAGCCTAAGCACGATCTCTAACATGAAGGCAGACAAGTTCAACAACAAGTAACTACGTAAACACAGATGATGGCCATGAGGCCTCACGGGACGGACCAAGTCTCAATCCCTCGAGGTATACACCCACACGCCCGTCACCTAGTGTGGGTATCACCTCCAAACAGTCACACGATATCAAATTCTCCGGGTTTATACCCTCAAAATGAGAGTTAAAACTGTTACTTACCTTAACAGCGTAAAATCCTACTCCGGGATGCCCTCGTCTCTGGACTCGGTCTCCAAAAGCTCCAAATCTAACCATAATCAGATTAATACCATCAACATAGGCTAACGAATCGAATTTCACAATAAAAACTACAAAATATGTCAAAATCCGAAACCGGTCAAAACCCGCCCCCCGGGCCCACGTCTCGGAATCAGTCACAAATGGCAGAATAATAAACCTCGTCCTCTCCCGAGTCTAACCATATAAAATTCATCAAAATAGGAATTCGTTTGGTCCCTCAATTCTTCACTTAAACTCTCCAAAACTCAAACCCTAACTCCCTCAATTTCACTTTGAATCATCAATAAAAAAAAATTCCAAAAACGAAGATGGATTCATGAAATATAATTAAAACTGAGTAGAGAATACTTACCCCAATCTTTATGGTGAAAATCGCCCAAATCCGAGCTTCCCAACTCAAAATATGACCGAATGAACAAACCCTCATTTTATATATTTTCTGCCAGCTATTCTGTCTCGTTTCTTGTAACGAACGATCCCTAAACTCACTTTTTATGCCTCCAATAGATTCTTTGTGAAATTTTAGTCAATTTAGGCTTTTGAATCACTCAATTTGACCTTATAATGAAGGAAATTTGTAGGTTTTAATATTTGCAAATAGTGCAGATTTTTAAATACGCAATCAGTGGCAATTTCGTAATTAATCTGAAAAATTTAGCAACCTAACTCTTAGTAAAATGACCATAAAATCCTCATACAATGTCTAAATTTGACGATTCTTTTTGTTACGGGTCCGCAATTACGATACAGATCTAATGTTTCAATCAAAAAAGAAATCGGAGCTCATTTGTTCAATATAATATCATTTATGCTTGAAAAACGGCGCCGAAACATAAGAAAAACGAGCGCAACACAACCCAAACCTATCCGAAACTCATGTGAGGCCCTCGAGACCTTAACCAATAATTTCAACAAGTCATATATCACTACCCGAACTTAGTAGAACCTTCGGAACACCCAAAACAACACCAAAACACTAAATTAACCTCGGATTCGAGCCTAAGAACTTCTAAACTTCCAACTTTCGCCAATTCAAGCCTAATTCTACCACGGACCTCCAAATTATATTTCGGACACACTCCTAAGTCTAAAATCACCCAACGAAACTAATCGAATCATAAAAATCCACATTCGAATTCGTTTACTCATAAGTCAACTTCCGGTTGACTTTTCTAACTTAACTTTCTAACTAAGAGACTAAGTGTTCATTTCACTCCCAAACTACTCCGGACCCAAACCTACCAACTTGATACAACTCAACACCGCTGAACAACACATAAAGAAGTAGGAATGGGGAAACATGGCTATAACTCTCGGAACGACTGGTCAGGTCATTACATCCACCCCCTCTTAAACAAACGTTCGTCCTCGAACGTGCCAAGAGTTGTTCTCAAAACCATCAAGAACTCTCTCCGAACCTCAATGGCACAAAACCAATCCGCCAGGACTGAATCCTTCTAACTCAACCAAGCTACGCAGACTACCAAAACCCCAAGGACATTGCCACAAAACACCTGTAGAACTCATTACCTCATACACACCCAAAGAACTAATTATACCCATTACCATGCCGATCCAACCTACTACCAAGATGTCCTACCTATCCGAGTTCCTTCTGAATTACCTTCAAATTGATACTTTGCCCCGCCATAACACCATAATCCTCAACCCAGACTCACCACACGAGACCCAAGTATAAAACCACACCGCCCTAAGGCTCATACACCGTTGAATACTCTCTTAAATATTCCCAAAAGTACCACAAGCACGCGCTCACACAATCAACACCTCAGTGCTCAAGCTACAGTCAAACCCCGGCCTCAAGTCCTCAAGACTGGCCCAACATCAACACATAGAAATCATATCTCGCAACTCATCCAGGGAATCACAAGTCGTCGAGGCACAACTGATACTGAGCGCTCATGTGCGCATACGAATGCGTGGAAGGAATTCAAAGAGTTACACTTCAAGCTGAATCAATACTGCACGAAAAAAATTCAAGAATGTGAAATTTTTCTAAAGGTTCTGCAGCCTCTCGAAGATAAGTACAGACGTCTCCGTACAGATCCGCAAGACTCTACTAAATCCGCTCAAGACTCGTGAGACCTATGTAACTTAGGCTCTGATACCAACTTGTCACGACCCAAAATCTAACCATAGTCGTGATGACGCCTATCGTGTTACAAGGCAAGCCTATTTCCCAAAAAATTACTACTAAATCGATTATAAGAATTTAATAAAATATTTCTAATATTTGAATTTTTCATAAACTAAATCAACTCTAAATATAATTATAGAAAATATGAAAACGAGCCCCAAACATCGGGGTGTCACTAAGTCATGAGCGTCTAAAACTATAAACTAAGATATATAAACTGTCTAACTGTCCAAAAGAAGAAATGACAAAAGGAGTAACAAGGTCCTGCTGACGCTAGCAGCTACCTTGCAATCTCCACAGATAGCCGGCCTGAACTCAACGATCACTGCGCTCTAACTCACCTGGATCTGCACATAAAGTGCAGGGTGTAGTATGAGTACAACCGACTCGGTAGTAACAAAAATAACTAAGGAACTGAGCAATAGTGACGAGCTAAGTAAAATAGTCCAATTATTTATTTTCACAATTTAAAAATAAACAGAAATAAACAGGTAAATTCCATAACTCAGTAAATGCCACAAAGAAATTTAACAGATAAATGCAGCAACAACACAAATAAATACAACCTCACAGCAGTGTCACTCCATCACTCATCACTCGCACTCACCACTCAACATTCAAAACAATCAGCATTATGCGCTCACAGGGGGTGTGTACAGACTCCGAAGGGGCTCCCAAAGCCCAAGCGCTAAGCACGGACAACTCACG